TATTTTTAGTTGTCTGATTAATTTCTTTCTATTTTTAGTAGAGACAGGGTCTCGCTCTTGCTCAGGCTGGTTTCAAACTCCTGAGCTCAAGCAATCCTCCTACCTCAGCCTCGCAGAGTGCTAGGATTACAGTTGTGAGCCACCGCGCCCAGCCAATCCCACCTCTTAATACTATCACATTGGCAATTAAGTTTCAACGTATGAATTTACGGGGACACATTCAGACCACACCACCATCCATTTATTTCCAATCTCTATGTGTCTTTATATTTAAAGTGAATTCTTGCAGACAACATGGTGTTGGGTCTTGTTTTTTGATCCACTCTGACAATCTGTCTGTTAATTGGTGCATTTAGACTATTGACATTCTAAGTGATCACTGATAAGAGTTAGATTAATATTTACCATATTTGTTACTGTTTTCTATGTTTCCCTTGTTCTTATGTTCCTATTTTTGTCTTTCACTTTTTCTATCCTTTCTGGTTTTTTTATTTTATTTTATTTTTTTGAGACAGAGTCTCACTCTTTTGCCCGGGCTAGAGTGCTGTGGCGTCAGCCTAGCTCACAGCAACTTCAAACTCCTGGGCTCAAGCAATCCTTCTGCATCAGCCTCCCAAGCATCTGGGACTACAGGCATGCGCCACCATGCCCGACTAATTTTTTCTATATATTTTTGGTTGTCTGATTAATTTCTTTCTATTTCTAGTAGAGACAGGGTCTCACTCTTGCTCAGGCTGGTTTTGAACTCCTGAGCTCAAACAATCCTCCCACCTCAGCCTCCCAGAGTGCTAGGATTACAGGCGTGAGCCACCACACTTGGCCCTCTTTCTGCTTTTAATTGAGGATTTTATGTGATGCTATATTCTCTCCTTTCTTAGAGTATCCGTTATACTTCTTTTTTAACCACTTTTTTAGTGGTTGCCCTATACTTTGCAATATACATTTACAGAAAATCCAATAGACGCTTCTGAATTTTTCTTTTTTGTTGTTTGTTTTGGTTTTTGAGACAGTCTTGCTCTGTCGCCCAGCTAAAGTGCAGTGTGGTACCATCATAGCTCACTGCATCCTCAAACTGGGCTCAAGTGATCCCCTTGCCTCAGCCAAGTAGCTGGGACAACAGGTGCATACCACCACATGGAGCTAATTTTTCTATTTTTAGTAAGAGACAGGGTTTCTGTCTTGCTCAGGCAGGCCTTAAACTCCTGACCTCAAGAGACACTCCCAGCTGGGCCACCCAAAGTGCTAGGATTACAGGTGTGAGCCACCATGCCCAGCCCTGGATCTTTTCTTTAGCTGTAAAATGGAATAGATCATCCCTGCTTACCTCACAGAGTTGTTAGGAGGTTTGGATAAATGATATACCTGTACTCTCAACTGTGCTACTCGAATTACTTATTTCAAGAGGACCTTTAGGTTCTTTCCATCAGTGATTGATTAAAACTTGATCTCAGAAATAAACTTCCAGACCCTGAGGCAAATATGACTGATGACAATCGAAGGGTTAATTCCCCAGGTGAATGTCTATTATATTGAAAGGTAAAATCCAATCAGGACAAGCAGGCAGCCACCAAGCCATGGGGCCACAGAACTGTTTTGTTTCACCTGCGCAGTGTTTTGGGAAAAAGAAATTAAGTTAAATGCTAATGTTTAGAGATCAGGATATTTCAGCCGAGGCAGGAGGATCGCTTGAGGTCAGGACTTTGAGACCAGCCTGAACAAGAGCAAGACCCCGTGTCTACTAAAAATAGAAGAAAAGTGGCTGGGCAACTAAAAGTAAGAAAAAAAAAATCAGCGAGACGCGGTGGTGCACGCTTGCAATCCCAGCTACTTGGGAGGCTGAGACAGGAAGATTGCTTGAACCCAGGAATGTGAGGTTGCTGTGAGGTTGCTGTGAGCTAGCCCGGGGAACAGTGCTCTTGTCTCAAAAAAATAAAAATTAAGAAAAAATAGAAATCAGAATATTTCATATTGTCATTTGAATTTCAGACTTCTGGAAAATGAGAAGATACAGCAACCCGAGGCTCTAATTCCCACAGGACCACAATCAGCTGGAGTGAGTACCTGGCTACCCCTTTAAAAGAGCAAGGGCCCTCCAGGGCAGGCTTGGGCGCATAAGAGGTAAGGTAAGCTATTTAAACCACTCTGCAAAACACAGGGGTGTGATAAATGATGACTTGCTTCTTAATTCATTGGGTGGCAAACTGAGGTGGAGGGCACTTACAGAGACCTAAGATTGTCTAGCCCACTGCTCTCCGGGGTGCCCGGCGGCGACCTGAGGACTCAGGGTCAGGAGTTGCGCCACTGGCCGGAATCTGCGTCAAGGCAGAGGAGCTCAGCCAGCCGGTGCTGCTTCCTCCAGGGCGCCGCTCCCGGGCAGGTCTCCAATCCAGGCGGGGGCGCCGACGGGGCGCGGGGTCTCCTCCTCGGCCAGGGCCCGAGGGAACCCGCCAGGGGGCAGCGCCAGCCAGTGCTGAGGGCACACGGCGGGAAAGTTGGGCGAGTCGGGAGGAGCCGGGAGAGAGGCGTGGAACTCCCGCGGGGCCAAGTTCTCGAGAACGGCCGCCCCGCCCCGCGGCCAATCAGCGCCCGTCGTCCCTGCTGCGCCTCTGCGGCCGGTGCTCCGCCGCGCACTGGGGCCCGGACGCGGACGCGAGGCCACGGTACGAGCATGGTGCACGGCAGGGTGTCCCGGCTCTCGGTCAGCGACGTGCGCTTCCCCACGTCGCTGGGGGGCCACGGCTCGGACGCCATGGTAAGCGCCTACCGACGGCCCGGGCCGCTTAGGCGCGGGGGCCCGCGGGTCCCGGGGAGGTCCCCAACTTGGGAAATCGCGTTTCTGTGAAGTGGGAGGCGGGCATGGGGTAGGATAGACAGTGTAAGTATCCCAAAAACCCCAACCCCCCGGGGTTTCCTCCCCTTTTTTTTCTTTTGCTGGCGTTTAGAATGTCCTGGTGTTACATTTATGATTCACCTTTTGCTGGAAATGGTAGAATACATAATATGCAACAACAGCAAAATGGTTTTGTTGGGTCCCCGCTAATGAAACCCTAGAATACAGCGCTGGCTGCTTCTGTACCGAGGACTTGGTGGATTCGCGATGATGGAGACCAGGAAGCCCCGGGCTGGGCGTTTTGAGTGGTATCCTGCCTCCGCCACAACTTGCTGTGTGACTTAGAGAAGACACACACCTCTCTGGGGCTATTGGGTCCATCTAGGAAATGAAGGTGTCACAGTCAGGCCGATACACCAAGCACTGGTTACTCTGGGTCACGTTAGAGAGCGCCCACGTGAAATTACCTGCAAACATGGAAAGGATTTGTCACTGTAAGGAGTTATGCAAGTGTTAGTCTTAAAGAGATGTAATAAAGTAACTTTGACTCTGGGACTTTGATTCCTACCTAATTGCTGAGGAGCTTTTTAGCTTACTGAGAACTTTGGAAAGACCCTCTCCCACCTTCCCCACCCCTCCAGCCAAATACAGTAGGAGAGTTCCGTGCAGGGTCTTAAAGGGGTCCTGTTCCCCACTGGCTCCTAGTGAGAAACATCAGTGTTAGGAAAATGGTTCTGTAGAGACGAGGGGGGAGTGGGGTCAGGGAGAGGTCCCCAAGGACTCTAATTCACACCCTAATGTTTTACTTCCTAAGCTGAGTGGATGGCAAACTGGTGTTCAGTACATTATCTGTGCTCTTTGTGGACCCAAAATGTTTTATAAACAAAGGCCTCTCAGCCGGACGGACGCAGTGGCTCACGCCTGTAATCCTAGCACTCTGGGAGGCTGAGGTGGG